AAAAGAAAAAGAAAAAGAAAAAGAAAGTTGGAGGATATATATATACTACCTGATTTCAAGACCTATTACAAAGCTATAGTTACCAAGAAAGTGCGAGATCAGCATAAAAATAAAAACTTGTATCAGTGAAAGAGAAGAGTAAAAAAAAATAGACATATACATAAATGGCCAATTGATTTTTGATAAAAAGTGCCAAGAAAATTCAATGGGAAAAAGATAATCTCTTTGATAAATCATGCTAGAATAACCCATATACATATATATGTTGTATGTGTATACGTATATATATGTATATACATGGGTGTTATATTTGTATTTATTTAGATATATATGAAATACATAGTGACTCATCTCCCATCATAGATAAAAGATTAACTCAAAATGAATCATTGTCCATAAAAATTAAAACTATAAAACTTCCGGAAGAAAACACAGGAGAAAATCTTCTTGACCTTGAGGTAAGCAAAGACTTCTTGTATCAAACACAAAAAGCATGAACAATAAAAGAAAAAGGTAAATTAGTAAATTAATGAAAGAGCGTCTGTTATTAGAAATACATTAATAGGAACATAAGGCAAGCTAGAGAGAAAGAAAGAACATTCACAATACATATACCTGACAAAATCTTGAATCTAGAACATGTAAGTAACTCACAACTTAATAACAAGCCAAAACCACCTTCAAAAATTGGAAAAAGATTTTAGAGCACAATACACAAATGGCTGGGAAGCACATAAAAAGGTGAACATCTCCAGTCATCAGAAAAATGCAAATTAAAGCACAATGAGATTTCCATTAGAAATCCATTAGAATGGTTGAAATGAAAAAGACTGGCAATATCAAGTGTTGCTGAGGATTAAGAAACACATGAAACTCACAATGATGGTGAGACTGTAAAATTCTACAACCACTTTAAAAACAGTTTGGCAGCTTCATAAACTTATACTTATAACCCAATATTTTACACCTAGGTATCTGCTGAAAAGAAACAAAAACATATACCCATACAAAAACAAATGTATATAAATGTTCCTATCAGCTTTATTCATCATAGCCCAAAACTAGAAATGACAGCGATGTCTATCAACAGGTGAATGTATAACTAAATTGTGGTATATCCATATAACAGAATATTACTCAGCAATAAAAAGGAATGATTTACAGATACATGCAATACCAGAGATGACCCCCAAAAGCAGAAACTCAAAATAAAAATGTTGTATGACTCAATTTCTTTAAAAAAAAAAACTACAGCCCAACCTCTTTATTTTTCAAATAAACTACTTCCTTTTCACAATTTATAGTAAAGTACATATTTACGGACTGATTCAATTTCCAAACTGCTTTTATAACTCTAGTATTGAAGGCTGTTCATTCGCTACAGTCCAAATATTCTTCCAATTTCCTTATTCAATCCCTAGTTTTCAGATATAGTATCTAAATCTTTTTGATGCTTATTTAATGTATGATAATAATTATATAATTACTCAGGCAAAGCTTTAGTGATTTATTTACACAACGCACTACACATTATTAAATTCAGTGACTTAGAAGCAAATTAAAACTTTCTGAAAAATTTTGGCGGAAACTTTTGTATCTACTTTCTCCCTAGATGACACTGGAGCATTTGTACAAAATTCACTGAGGTTTTCACGTAAATATTTCTCACTGAAACATTTTTCTTACACAATAAGAAATTTAGTATTTCAAATATTCTTTCATCTTGCTCTGTGAGATCAAGAAACATCATTAAATAATCTTCAGTCTTAAATTTCTGATATTAATGTAAATATTTCAAAAAGAGCTATTTTCTCATTTTAGTAAATTCAGGCATACCTCATTTTATTGCATGTCCTTTTATTGTGCTTCAAGGATACACCATTTTTGTTTTATTTTGTTTTGCTGAGACAGGGTCTCACTCTGTTGCTTGGGCTAGAGTGTAGTGGCATCATTACAGCTCACTGCAACCCCAAACTCCTGGGCTCATGCGATCCTCCTGCCTCAGCCTCCCAAGTAGCTGGGACTACAGGCGCACACCACCATACCTGGCTCATTTTTGTATTTTTTTGTACAGATGGGAGTCTCACTCTTGCTCAGGCTGGTCTCGAACTCCTGGCCTCAAGAAATCCTCACCCTTTGGCCTCCCAAGGTACTAGCTTTATAGGCATGAGCCATCAAGTCTGGTCTGTTCTTTTTTTTTTTTTTTAATTGAAGGTATGAGATGACCCTCCATCAAGCAAGTCTACTGGTGCCATTTTTCTAAT